GGCTAAAAAGTTTTTCTTTTCTGGCATGGAAATTGAACTCTAAGGGATAAGAGAATATGAAAGAAATATAACATTTTGCACAAAATCTCCATTCACCACCACTATCTGCTTGGTGAACCTCTGTTCTCTTTTAAAACCTACATCATGTGTTGCCTCCTTCCAGAAGCCTCCCCATGTCCCCTTCTCCTCTAATATATTATAAATTTTTTCTAGCTGTCTTTGGTATGCATCTTCTGTTATGCTACACAATAATTTAAAAGAACATTTTCTCCACCCTAATAAACCATAAGACCACAGAAGGAGGAGTCAAGTGTCACCAGTGCTTGTCTGGGACCAAGCACATAGAAAGACTTAAATATTTTGTGAAAGAATGAGTGATATTTTGATTTCTCCAAAGGATATTTATAAGTAAGCTAGAAAATACTAATTGTTTGGAGGCGGAATTGCATGCATACAAGTAAGATAGATACATTGAGTAACTTAGTAAAAATGATATCTCTGTTATAGCAAAATGTGGATAAAAGTATAAAATGGGATCCAGTATAGGTGTCAAGTCAAAACCCCTTCCTTTCTGGCAGAATGTAGGTGAAGATTTAGAAAATTGGCTGAAACTCACTTACCACATAGGTATTTTGTTATTACTTAATATAGTTAGCCATTTACAGTGTACACACAGGCCCAAAGCACCAGGCCAAGCACTATGGCAATAAATGAAAAAGATCTCCATCTAAACAGCTGCTATTAAAACATTCTTATGTGACTTGCCCCAAGCACTCGCTCAACTCACATCGTTTCCATTGATGCAAAGTGAAATCTATTGTAGATTATTTCCTGTTAGTACTGGAAACGTGTTTGTGCTTGTCGAAATCTGGCTCTACTGTCATTGCCACGGTTGCCCACGCAGCATTTTGTTCATGCCTCTTGAGGGTGATTTTCATTTTATATTCTGGCTTTCTATATGTGTCTCTGTCTTCTAAAATAAGATCTGTAGAAAATTCCATCTCATTACCTGTAAATGCAGTTGTGTGGGAACACAGCCACACTCACACCATTATGTGTTGAATATGATTGCTGTTGCATTACAATTAGTGGAATCAAGGAATTGCAGCAGAGATCCTACAGCCCACAAAGCCAGAAATGTTTACTGTACTGCCCTTTATAGAAAAAGCTTGCTGACATCTGTTCTAATGTATTGAGAGATCCTTAAAGGAAAAAGTTATGTTTCATTCTTTTTGGTTTCAACCCAAACATCAGTAGTACATTTAATGGAATTAATGTACTGATGATTTAATGAATGTTTGAGTGCTCATTGGGCTGGACACAGTTCTAGGTGCTGAGGGTACCTCACCCAAAGAGCAAATTTCTGTTCTCGTAGAGTCTCTGTTCTAATGCTGGTAACAATGGGGAGAGACAGAGCAGTGAACAACATGTAATAGAATGAATGTGTCAGCAATAAATGTCATAGAGAAAAGCAAAATGAGATGGGGGAGGATTGCCCAGTGGGCAGGTGATCATGGTGGTAGTAGAGGAATTAGGTTTATGTGAAAAGACCATGTGGGGGTAAGCAAAAGATGGGGAATGTTTGGCATGTTTGAGGACTCACCAGGAGGCCATGTGCCCACAGCAAAGCAAGCAAGAGGTAGTGTGGGAGAAAATGAGCTCACTGTCTGAATTGGTTTTCTGGGGCTGGTTTTATCCTGGTGAATTTCTCTCTGAGGTGGGAAGCCTCTGGTGAAGGAGAAGCAGGATCTGACACGTTTTAACAAGGTCTGTGGCTTCAGAATGGAGGATAGATTATAAGGGGAAGTGTAAGTGTGAGCAGAAGCTAGGAGACAAGTTAGAAAATTCTTGCCATCTTGGAGATGGCACTGGGTTGGCCATGATAATGGTGGTGGTGATTACAACTCCAGATTCTGGCTTCTCAAGCCAGCTATTGAATGAGTGCATAAAATGCTGGCATTTCCTTTAGGGTACACACTGCACCTGCTTCTGGAAATTTTTATGACACCACTCTGGGATGGAATCCTAGCATTTGTACTAAAAATACAATTATCATGCTGTATTTGTTTCTGTGCTGGACTTATTTCATTGTTTCACTCAACATAATGTCCTCCAACTCCATCCATGTTGCTGCAGATGATAGTGAAGTAGAACAGAAGAGGATGGATATCCAAGGAATTTTCAGGAAGCAGGTTTATTGACTACAGGGTTCAGAGGTAGCTCTCACCTAAGAATTCTTCCTCTGAACAAAGATTTTGGAAAATTTTTTGAACTTTATACCCACTGAGGTTGGGCTTGGAGGTTCACATGACACATGATCTCTGTTCCATCCCCTAGACTACACTTAGGTTTCATGAGTTTTTACCAAGAAAACAGAGATAATATCTTTTTGTACAACAAGCTTACAAACTAACTCTGTCATGTCTTTTGTGTGCAAACCTGGCATTTACAAGAAAGAGGAAACTACCAACCACAATAACCTCTGCAGATATCTTGCTGATATGACCAGAGGAGAAGCTTAATTATGGCAAAGTTCTTTGGAGTGGGGGTACCCAGTCTACTTCAATAGGATTCATTCTTTTTCCCCCTTTTTGTGGCTGAATAATATTCCATCATGTCTATGAGCCACATTTCTTTATCCACTCAGCTTACGGGCACTTATGCTGATTTTATATCTTGGCTATTATGCATAGTGCTGCAATGAACATAGGGGTGCAAATGTTTTCTTGACCTACTGATTTCATTTCCTTTGAATACCTAGTAGTGGGATTGCTGGGTCATATGGTAGGTCTACTTTCAGGGTTTTTTTTTTTTTTAAACTTCATACTGCTTTTCCATGTATCAAATGATAAAGCTGTACCCATAAATAGGTACAAACAGTGTATGTTAATTAAAAATAAAAATTAAATGAAAAAATTAACAGCACAGTTACCATAGCTCTCTAGACATAATCTGATACTCCCCCCTCTGTGGAGATACATCAGTAGGTGTTCTTGTCTTTACCTGAGAACAAAGCAGAGCAAAAGGTTACATTTTCCCCTGCAATTTCTATGCTTCTTATAGGAAGGGAGAAGAAATTTGATTTGAAGATAATTCTTTTTCCATGATTAACTAAAATAATGTTTAATAGGTAAAAACAAAATAACAATGTAAAAAAACCTTTCAATTTCCTATGAGCCATCTATAGGAGAGTTGGCTGGGATGAAGTAGAATGATTAAGTTTGTTACAACAATAGCCTTATGGTTTCTATTGCAGGCTGTGGAACGATGATTATGTTTTAATATTTCAAATTGTGGGTACTCCTTTATTCTTTCTTATGTAGTAAATATTAGTAAATGGTTGAAAATTTTTTTAAAGCTCCTGGGGTTTTAGGAAACCAGTAGCTTTTTAATTTTTAACAGGTTCAGGACATACTTTCCACTTTTAATGATCATTTACCATTCAGTTGGTAGCAAGATGAGCATCACATGGCATTTTGGACGGATGATGTTTCAGAGAAGGTCAGGGTATTCTAGAAATTGTGAATTTGGTAAATAAGCAGAGGTGTGAATACAAATGATGGATTGTCAGAATCACTAAACATAGCTTTGGACATGAAGCCTCCCCATAAATCTGGTGGGGGGGCCCCTCCCCTTGCAAGTAATTTGAACTTCCCGACCACTGGGTGAGCTGCACTGTTCTCCCACAGCCTGCAGTGGGCTGCATCTAATACGCCCGCCAGTGCTCCGCAGACCTCTGCTAATGGTCCTGAAAGGGAGAAGGTTCAAAGAGGCTTGGTTCCCAGGCCTGCTAATGAGTATGAGGCCTCTTCACCCTAATGAACCAGGGCTTGTGTGGGATTTTTTGCCCTCCCTTTTTGAAGGCAAGGCAGGCGGGAGCTCACAAAAGCAGCAAGGTCTTTATGGCAAGGGGAGTGTGCAGCTGGGCCACCCCAAGGTGGCCTGGAGGGGAGCAACAAAGCTGACGGAGGTCGTGTCCAGGCCAGCACAGTTATGAGTGTGAGGCGGGACCTCCTGCCAGCTTGGCCTGTTGCTGGCAGCAATGACAAGTCCGCAGTGGGAGATTTCAGACCAGGAGGGCTACACAGGTCGCTCAACAGCCCTTGCAAGCCTTCTTAAATTGCTTTTTAAGCTGCATTTGTTATCATTGTTAAAACTTATCAAATGAATATGATAACCACCAAAATCCTTGTTCTAATTAGCTAAATTGTTGTTCTAAATATTAACCATTGGTACCAAAGCTCACTGTAGCGGCCAAAACGTCCTCCAGATATTTTTATCTCTCTCTGCCCACCCACGTCCAACTGCACAATTAAACAATAGAATTATTCAGAAAAGTAACAAACACATGCCAAAAATATTGCCTTTGTCACAATCATCTTTGTGGAAGTCAAAGTTTTTCTCACGAATAGATTTAGAAAATGACATCCTGTATTTAAACCAGAATTATTTCTACTGAAATATGTGCATTTGATTTCACCTATGCTCAATGCCCATTTCTGCAGTGACTGCTTCTTTACTATTAGAAAGCCTGGTTTGGTATTGCAGTGTAAAAGTCCTTAAAACACATGTATTGTAATATGTAACTTCATAAATTCAAAGTTATAAATGACTATAGTTTCATAATGAATATTTCTACGTTTTAATTTTCAATCAAGGTTAAAGCCTGGCTGTGACACAATACAATTTTTTCTGATTAAACACAGGTTATGAAAATTACAAGTTTCAATTACTTGCCAGTTTGGAGTGAGGCCTTTTAAGAACCAAACTGAAAAACAAATTGCTACTTTCAGTTACTGGAAATTTGAGCAAACGTTACAATGTCCCCTTCCCCCCATGCCCCCCCCAATAGAGAGAGAGAAGAGAAGAGACTTGGAATGTACACACACATTTACCCTTCCATGACCTGTGTTTGGAATTATTCTGAGATGCATTCAAAGCTGACAGCCCCCCATGGCTGACCCCCTCGTGCCTAATCAAATCTTGCGTTCTGTTTCCAGATAGCTGATCAGCTTCCTTGGATTTTGATGACACCAGAGAGCTTTGCCTGAAGATGGAAACACTGGAGTCGGAACTGACCTGCCCTATTTGTCTGGAGCTCTTTGAGGACCCTCTCCTGCTGCCCTGCGCACACAGCCTCTGCTTCAACTGCGCCCACCGCATCTTGGTGTCACACTGTGCCACCAACGAGTCTGTGGAGTCCATCAGCGCCTTCCAGTGCCCCACCTGCCGGCATGTCATCACGCTCAGCCAGCGAGGTCTAGACGGGCTCAAGCGCAACGTCACCCTGCAGAACATCATCGACAGGTTCCAGAAAGCGTCAGTGAGCGGGCCTAATTCCCCCAGTGAGACCCGTCGGGAGCGGGCCTTTGATACCAGCACCATGTCTTCTGCTGAGAAGGTCCTCTGCCAGTTCTGTGACCAGGATCCTGCCCAGGACGCGGTGAAGACCTGTGTCACTTGTGAAGTGTCCTACTGTGATGAGTGCCTGAAAGCCACTCACCCGAACAAGAAGCCCTTTACAGGCCATCGTCTGATTGAGCCAATCCCGGACTCGCACATCCGGGGGCTGATGTGCCTGGAGCACGAGGATGAGAAGGTGAATATGTACTGTGTGACCGATGACCAGTTAATCTGTGCCTTGTGTAAACTGGTTGGGCGGCACCGCGATCATCAGGTGGCAGCTTTGAGTGAGCGCTATGACAAATTGAAGGTTAGTCCGATCCGCCTTAAGCCAACCCCTTTCTGCCAGCAAATGTCATGGAAATAAGAAGTGTATTCACTGCTAGCTACATGGCAGGTGAAGGTTTTCTCTTCACCTTTGTTATCTGATTAGTTTTAGCATGTTTTTGGCAGCCTATAAATGTTACACAATAAGGGTATCTTGTAAAAGTTGACTGCTGCTTGTAATTTTAGCGTTGTCAAGGTGAGGGTGAATTCTAAAAATCTGGATCATTTTCAATCCTTGCAGTTTTTCTGGATCATTTTCAATCTTTGCAGTTCTTGCTAAGAGAGTGCTGCTTTGAGAGACAGTACGCGTGAGCAAGAATGAGAAAATGAGCGCAAAAAGAATTGCCTGATAGAATCTGGCTGTGGGCATTTGCGGGGCATTTATTTTCTTCACTCATCTGGGAAAACTAATTCACTGTCATTGTACCTATATCTAGTTACTACACAAACAAAAGAATAGAAGAAGGAATGTCTGTAGCAAATGTGGGATTTTAGAGGACACGTGACCTTTTCTTCTTGTCTAAATGATATCCAGCTTATTGGTTAACTAGAGCACTCTGACAATCTCAGGTTTCATGAAAGAATTCCTTTCCACGTAGGTGTTTTATTCCGCGAAGTTACAGGCAAGACTGTTTTAACTTAACTTTTAATATGAAATTATTACCCTAATTCCAGCTTGGGGGCTAATAATTAATATGACTATATGTCAAATAAAAAAATCACTCTCTAAATATGGCTAGAAAGCACCAGGGAAGAAATAAAAAGCTGTCTCCAGATGTCTGTTCAACTTTAGGCAACCGTGGGGCTAATTATTGAAAACTCAGCTGAGAGAGTTGGAGGGAGAGACTGTGTTCACCAGCTAATTTTAGATCACAAGACACCAATTAAAAGGAAAGGAAGTATAAATTAAAGCTCTCAGTAAATATATACTGAAGTCCTTCCTCTCAGGAAAAACACATACCAAGTGGTTGAGCAAACAAAATGAATCATGTGATCCAAAGAGTATTATCACTTGGAGAACTTCGTCACCTTTAACAAATGGTTCCTATCACTTCTCCTTAGCGCTAATGGGTGGTTGTGTTTACTGGGAGCACAGTTTGTGATGGTGGAATTAACAGATCACATCTGGGATTTGACTTGGCTATTTTCTTGACACACTGAGGGAAGATGACAGACTGAAGTGAATCCCTGCTTTTAAATGTCACTTGGGCAACAAAAGCATCACCTGGGCAGTGTGCTTAATTTCAAGTGTCCAAAGAGTGACTGGCACAGATCCATCTTTAAACCATGTACAGGAAGTTAAGTAAGAGGGTTAAGGTGACAAATAAAAGTGGAGAAAGGTACCCGTATTTTTTTAGTGCTTTGCACAGCCGTAGCAGAAAAAAGTACTACCAAAGTCATTAATCGCAAAGGTGACGCATGCATGAATTGTGCTTCTAAAGTCAGTTCTTCAAAAATCGATATGACTGCAATTTTTAAAAGCCAAGGTGATCTTTTGTAACCCCCTTCTTTGTTGTTGGGAGGGGAGGAGGTTCAGGATCATTGAACAGAGATGTTTGATCTTTGTTTTCCTATAGTAAACATCCCAAACCTTTCCCCTCATTTATAAAAAAAAAATATGTTCCTTTGATTGGATTAATGCTATCTTTTAATGATTGTTTGTTAAAACACTATAATCATAATGATGTTCCATATTCAGACAGACTTGATATTTAAATCTGGTAATCAAGTTCTGATGATTACTTGGGTACTGTCACAGCAGTTATTAATTATTTACCTAACATCTTTAAATTTATGAAGAGAGACTGTCATACTCTAGTCTTTTTGTGATGAAAATGAAAATCTTCAATCATTGCTTGCCTAATCAAGCCAGTGGGTTATCGGTCCTTGGTGCTATCATAGGGAGGGCCTGACAATTAACAATGTAGTATATTTTATTTTCTAATTACATAAATATGAGCATATAAACAGCATCCAATGTGTCTAAATACATTTATAGCTATTCAACAAAATGTGCTTATGAGCAATTATTTACAGCCATTCAGCAAAATGTGTTTATGAGCATTTCAACAAATAACGTACTAGCATGGCATGTTTGTTCTGAAACATGCCACTGATGTTAGAATAAAAAAAAACTAGAAGAATATAGGACATTTGGGTGAAATTTTAGTGATCACAGATGTATGAACATATGTACTTCCTTGTTTTGTTTAAAATTTCAGTACAATATAAATGTTGATTTTTGAAGGAAGTAATAGCATACTGAAAGAACCAAAACCAAGGAAGTGTGTTTTTGTTAATTGTGACTTTGGTTTGAAAGAGTAAATGCACTCTGTACACTTTTTCTGTAGTCCTGGGATCTCATAGAAATTTGTGATGATGTGAAAACATAGATGAAGCACAGAGATATTTGAGAATGCTTTCATTGACAAGATGATAGACTGACTTTAGTTATTTGGATGTAAGGACCCAGGTATCTTTGGCTTGAAAATATAGTTGTCCCTCTGTTAAAGTCCACTATACAAAGAGGGGAATCCTGCAATGATTATGAAGAATAATTATTTCCTTCAATAACACTAAGCTTTGGGGAACCTTCTTAAGTTATATCAGATCTTGGTATAAGAGATATGTGTTTATATAAAAGAAATGGAATATAGTTTTATATATCACAGTGTTTTCCTAAGCACAAAAGAAAAAAAAAAGACAACATATTCCAACATGTAGAATTCATGCAAATCGAATCCTCCACATCGTCTGAAATAGTGTCATGTCAGTAGTCTAATGCTTTCAGAAACTGTGTGTTGAGAAGCACTCATGAAATATTGAACTAAATAGAAAATTAAAGTAGTATTTCCTGAACCCTATTTTAAGAAACGCCAAATGCAAAGTCTCTAAATGAAGCATATCAGAATACACAGAATACAGACTTTTTTTTCATTATTCAAATTGAATTTTAAGATGCCTCTCAATCCTCCAAATCATGGATTAAAATTTTGATTTGTGAAGTACATAACATATAAGAGAATTTCATATAATGCCTTCCAGAGTTTTCAAGGAATTACAATGAAGTAATAGCTCTTTTTCTCTTCTAGCATACTATGTTGGAACTCTTGATTCTTTTCTCTAGTTACACCTATAAAAATATAGCAGTGGAGAACAATTAACCTTTCCTTGCCCTTCACTTTCATCATAGCCCCTTCAAATGAGCTGAATTGAAGTTCTAAACCATGGTCTTTTTTTTCTAACTCTAAAGGCTGGCTATAGGAGGGAGTTTGTTTAATACAGATTTCAATGGATCATCCTATTGTAATTTTAAAAACATATATATATATATTCTTAATATCTTTATTTTATTGTTTGTTTATTTTTATGTGGTGCTGAGGATCGAACCCAGTGCCTTGCACATGCTAGGTGAGTGCTCATACCGCTAAGCCACAACCCCAGCCCCTCCTATTGTAATTTTTAAATGATCTGATCAAAATTTTCAGTTATATCTCAGCCTTCCTTATGTAGCGCTTGTCATCAGGAGGAAGACATGAGATTTCACTCCTTCTATTTTTTAATATGTTTATAATTTTTATGATCTATTGATTATAGATTTAAACAATTGATTTTATATGCATATTTTAGCTGTAGTTGGATACAGTATTTTATTTAACCCATATTTAGGTGGTGCTGAGGATCGAACCCAGCGCCTTGCACATGCTAGGAAAGCACTCTACTGCTGAGCCACAACCCCAGCCTCATTAAATTGTATTGATTTTTGAAAGTCTTTTCCAATTTGTAACTGTGAAAGTTTTAGTAGCTACTAAGATAGACCTTTTCTTTTTCCTTAAGAGTTTCTATAGCTGGTTACTTCTCTGTGAATAGCTGTAGATATTGTGCAGGTTCTAGTGTAAGATGTGTGTGTGTGTGTGTGTGTGTGTGTAAGAGAGAGGTAAAAATATACCTATAACATACATGTGTATGTATGCATACATTCATTTGTTTATTTATTTTAATATCAGAATTTTTCTGAATCCAAATTATATGGAGGCAAATTCAAGAGACCATTATTTCTTCTAGGCATATTTCATTCTGCAGGCAAGAGATGACGAAAAACAGAGCAATGTTAGCTATATCTGAAATATTTCATCTATTTTCTAAATGTTTGGTAGATGGGTAGAAGTTGTTTTTGAACCTGGTGTAGACTTAGAGGAAAGATTTTTTTTTTCTTTTTTTCTTTTCTTTGTATTTCAAAGTTCCAAGGATGAGAGGGGTTTTTTTGTTTTGTTTCTCGTTTTTTTGTTGTTGTTGTTGTTGTTTGTTTGTTTGTTTTTGGTTTGTTTGTTTTGGTGCAGGGGGATTGAACCCAGGGGTACTTAACAACTGAACCACACCCCAGCACTTTTTATTTTTTATTTTGAGACAGGGTCTCACTACAGTCCTTAGGACCTTGATAAATTGCTAGGGCTGACTTTGAACTTGCGATCCTCCACTGAAATTACAGGCATGTGGTACCGTGCAAGGAAGCATAAGTATTTTTTTTAAAAAAAATGTATGTTTCTATTTATTGATTTCCAATTTAAATACCTTAAGATTGCTCAAGGCAATTGCATGTGGTCTTACTTATAAAACACTAGAATGACTATTAATTGTGTCTTCAGGTTTTCCATAGCATAGCCTCATTGTTTTATTCTGCTTAATCAATTAATGACTTAGACAGGTACATTTAAACCTCTTACTAATAATGAAGATTTCTGGAAAGTGAAAATTTCAAGTTCTCATAGTATTTTTTTTAAAATTTACAACTTTTGAAGCTATGTCTATAAGAATATGTAAGTTCATATAGTTTTTTGGAAATTATGAAAAATTAAGTTTAAATATGTTTATTAAGTGAAGAGAATATGAACAGAAATGGTCCCTGCCTTTATGCAGCTTATACTCTAGTAGAAAATTCTAACAGCCAAATATTTTCTCTGTTAGTGGAAGGCACATTGTTCT